CATCCTCTTCACATTGAAGAACAGACAGGGAGACGGAGATAAATCTTCTGTATAGCTACCTACAGAAATTCTTGAGAAAAGTTTATTTGGATTAGGTCTTTCTCTACTGAATTTAGTTTCTGAATGGACAGTTGATCATAGTTCCATAGTTCCCTTTTTCTATCAGTCCTTTGGTATATGTGCATAAATTTTGTTTCTTTCTTTGTTCTTTGAACAACATTGTCGTGACTTACAGTTTTAGGGACTACAAAATACGTTCATGTCAATGAATGACTGAAGAGTTTATACAACAGACACACATTGATTGTTCCAATACAAAAGTTATATAAAGTGCGATATACATACAAGTGAAGGTCAGAAGAAACTAATATTGGAGAAAGTCCAGAATGCCTAAGAAGAAAAAAGCATGAAGCTGATGTTGATCAAATTAGCTTGCCTGGGCCCCAAAAGTAAATAGAGAGTGGATAATGCTGACCTGTTAGATCTCAAACCTGCAACAACTTATCATTTCTCAGTTCTGCCCTGCCTCTTTTTATATATTGCTGTACATAAAGTTGACTTGGTTAAATCCATTTGTAAATTAGGCAGGAACTAGAAACTACTGTGTCTGCATCCCTTCTCTCTCAGCACTGCTTCATTTTAACATTTTATTTATCCTGAACCCTTTTTTTTCCCCTAGATTCCACATTAATCAAGTTAATCACTTACCCTTCTTTCGCAAGTCATGTATCTGTGAAACAAGACACAAGTCACATGGAAATAAGACTATTCCTCTTAGGTGACGTAAGGACCGTGGCATTTTATCTTAGGACAATTGTTTGCTATTCAAACAATTTCTTAACGTGTTTTTCTCCTTTACTAACCAAATGAATGATGATATCATTTCTGCCCAAGGACCCTTAAAGTGAAACTATAAAGACACAGATTATATAGTTATATGGAGATGCAGTCTTTACTTTTCATTATTTACAAGGCCTTCAAATGTTTAAGCATTTTAAAACAGGCCAAAGCAATTCCAGTTATCTCCCTAAAAATGTCTCTGTATTTGGTGAATATGAAGCAGCAGAGTTTCCAGATCTACCTTTATGAAATATCGAGTAGTGCAGGTTCTAAGTTTATTTTGGTACAGTAGTCATTCAAGGCGTGACTCATTTTTCTCTAGTCTAAGACATTGACGAGGTAGATAATTGTGCTAATCATGCTTGTGTCCTTTTATGAAGAGAAACACATTTAGGTTGTTATTGATGTGGTCTGCTAGTGACCAGCACTTTAAAATGGGATGAACTGTGCCCTGGACTTTATTGATCAGATCCGTGTTACCCAAGCAGGGAGACTTGCTTAGAGCAATGAGCCTAAGCTGATGAATGTTCACTGTTAGGTGCAGTCTAATTCGAGCCCTGTGCAGCAGTGGGGTTAGAATACTGATGTCCTTAGTTAACAAAGAACAGCTAGAATGGAATGTAGACAGCAATAAACATTCAAAGAGAAAAGCATGTGGACTTACCTCACATTAACAGAGGTTGCTAAAGCTAGTTATCCTTCTGTGTTCTACTATTTTCCTTCCTGTTCTCTGCTTCTGATATATCTACAGTCCATGAAATTCACAGTAAAGAAGGATTTGAGGTTGCTGTTGGTCATGATCCTAAATTTCTGCTTTCTGTTTACTGCATTAAAATAAGTTGAATAAAAGACACCATCCTGTTTTAGAAATAGATAGCAAATGCATGACTAAAATACATTGCTCTGGATAATTTATCTAGAAGAAAGACTGGGTACTTGCCAATAACACTTGGCAAGTGTTATTAACCTATGGATAACAGACTATCCATAGGTACATGCATGATGTGGGTATTCCTGCACAAGAATTACTAGTTGGAGTGTTCTAACCCTTGCAGTACTCATAGGTAGTGTGCCTGTTTCTCCCATCCTGCAAGATGTCTTCCTCTTTCCTTTCAATGACCAAACCCGCAAGGTAAGCTGGATTTTGAAGGAGGGGAATAGTAGGAAGAGTTATGAGTGTACATATAGACAATACATCTTGAGGAAGAACGGTTACAGACAGATAACTTATCTTCTTCGAATGATTGTCTGTTTGCCTGTTCATACTGTGATGACTACAAGCAATACCCACCGGCCAATGTTTGGAGGAAATCTTCAGTATCACTATTTCTTCCAGGCAGAAATGCTACCAGGAAGGCATTTCAGTACACAGATATAGCAGCAAGAAAGTGACAATGGATTCAAGGTTTAGTTATAAGGAAGGAGAATTGGTTCCCTTAATACTAGATTGACTGGGAGCCAACATCAGGGTGGAAGACTGCTGAATATCTCCTGACGCTTGGGATAGTTAGGGAAGAACTTTGAGGGCATGTCTAAAGAAGAGACTAGCTGCAATTCAAGAAGTATTTGTAGTCTTCTTTTCAAGCTGAGATGTTACACAATCTATGGCATTGACAAGAGATAATCCTACAGAATCTTTAATAAGAGGGAGGACCCTCTCATTATTTGTGATTATTTGTATTCTTGCTCTACCACAGAAAATGATAGAAGGGCTTAGCAGTAAAGTTTTGGTTGCATAAGCAACAGCAAATTGCCCTTATAGGCTTAAGTATGCTGGACAATGCTGGAAAGTAAGAGACCATAATTTTCAATATCCTGATAAGAAACTGCAGTAGGCCTTCTAGACCTGAGGAAGTTTTTCTTCCAAAAGCTTTCCTTTGATGATTTGTTGTTTCAGCTGGAGGGGTATCAGTCTGTTGAACTTGAAAACTTCTTGCTTCCTCTTTCCAACAATCAAGGGCACATGCTTGGAAAGTGTTCATGATTGCTGAGGTGATGCGAATGCTGATATCTCACTATAGTCCTGTTCAAAAGATAATGGGGCAGAATGCAGAGAAAGCTGATGCAGGAAATGTGTGAAAAAACACTTTTAGATTACCTGCCTCCAGAAGGGTATGTTGTGTAGGTGACTGCAATTCCTGAAGGCTCTCTGAAGAAAGACAAGACAGAGAAAAAGGACATTTCATTTCAGAATAAGAAGATACATATATTGTCAGTGTTTAGGGTTATTATGGTCAAAGGCTAGTACCGACTATGCCAAGAAGGAGCATTCATTGCTCAGACAAGTATCTTAAGATGCCATAGGGTACCAAAAGGTCTCGGAGCCTAACTGAAAAGGCAGAGCTAGCACACAAGATCTCTTATGCCCTGTAGGATAATAGTCCTAAAAGCATAAACGTCCCAAGTCAGTTAACCTTTCCTTTGGGCCAAGCATTATAACCTCAATGACTGGTTATAGACTACAGCGCTCACATTTGTCAGAGGTGGGTCACTGTCCTTACGGCTTTGTGACTGAAAAAAATGTGGATGGGGCATTTGGTGGCCATATAGTAGTAGTGGTTGTAGTCTACTGAAAGGAAGGTAATTATGAGCCATGGTGCAATTATTAAAGCCTTCTATGGTGCATTTAGAAACAAATATCCATTATCCTTAAAGGAAAAGTGCTTACTTTCATTACAGCCCCTTTCAACCAAAAGTGAGCTGATATTCTTGTAATTCTTATGCAAAGTGTCATGTAAATCCTAAAGAAAGGGAAATATTTTTCTAAGAAATGAGGAAGAGAAGGATAGGGAAAAAATAGGTTATTCTGAAAAGTTTCTATATTTGATATCAATTTCTGAGGTAGATTTTAAACTATATGGTCAAAATGTTGACCATATTCTTGATTGTCTGTGTTGAGACATTTACAGTGCTTGTCTGATTTTCAGGGAGAGCTACCAGATTGTCTGGTAGATCAAGCATCTTTGAAACCAATTCACTTTGAGGAAGCAATCCAGTCATTACTAATCCAATCATTAGAAATTCTGTCATTAAAAATTAAAAAACAGTTAAAAAATAAAAATGCAGTAGTCAGCCCAAAAATCAACCTAAGTATTTTCTCAGTTGATGTTATAATGTAATAATGTTACAGGAATATCTATTCCCATCTTGCAATTGCACGTGTAACTTATTTATATTGCAGCACAGACTAAGAGATCTAGTCATGGACAAGAACCCTATTGTATCAGGTAACATAGATAGTAAACTAAGTAGTTCAATACTGCAATGATTTTCCAATGTAAGATAGGAACAGAGGAAAACAGGCAGTAATTCAAGAGGAATACAATGAGGCTGTATTGATCAGCATTCTGGAGAGTGTTGTAAGAAGAGATTAGCCTGACTGTCAGCACCTGAATTTGTGTGTGCGCATGTGCATGTGTGTGTATTTATATATAAATGTGGACATTTATACATGTGGACAGACAGATAAAATGCATATATCTCAGGAATCAGAAATTGCTGTGACAGAAGTGTGGAAGACTGATAAATCAGGCGAGTTTTACACTTTAAAACAAGACTTTACTAGATTGATATTCATTAACAATACACATTGTTAATGGTTAGTTCTTAATCATTATTAATCAGTACTACTACATATTCAAGGCAGCTAGTCCTTAACAATCATATCCTAAATTAGCAATGAATATACAGTACCACAGAGCTGATGCCATGTAGTTAGCACTGGTGGTTATAGTCCTTGATTGGTCCCAGTCTCTCAGGGTCTTAGTCATCAAAGTGATCAGGGCCAAGAGCACTTCAATGAGGGAAGCTGGAACTGAAATGATCTTAGCCCTTGGCCTCTGCCCCTTAGTCTTAGTCTTTGTCTTTGGGTTGCTGAGGGGTACACTCTCCCAGGCTGCAGCATGTGCCTTGTCCTTCTGATCAGTTGAGTTTTCTCTGATCTGCTGCTTCTTTTCCTTGTCATACGAAAGCAGTCTTTTCCCAGCTCCCAAGGCTGCACGTCGTCAATGACAAGTAACTGACCATCAGTGAGGTGACATAGTTATGGGACCCTTTTTTCAACCTGTGCCCATAGTTTTGAGACTTCTGTTATCTCAGGCTAAAACCACATCACAACAAGAACCTCTGCAATCAAGCTCCAACTGACCTGCAACTTCTTGTAACAAGCTGATAACAAGCCTAGTAGGTCAGGACTGGGGTCTTGCATAGTTTGCATAAGACACCATAAGGATAAGGCCTGAGGCTTGTTCTTAGCAATAGCAATACTATTTTTAATGAGTCACTAAGTACCAAGTGCTAAGGTCCTAAGGCACTATATAGAGAGAGAGATATAATTTGCAATATGTATGTTTACGTATTGTTTACCGGATATGCTGCACATACTAGTGTGGTTTTGTTAGCATTTCAGGCAAGCTAATATTAAATTCTGCTTAGTGTGCTTCTACTGTTATGAGTGCAATATAACACTGCTTTGTCTGCAAAATAAAGTGGTTTGAATAATGAACTAGCAATGAGGCACTGATACGTATTTACTTAGTATCTCTCGCTCTCATAGGATTTATAAAAGGCCTTTTGTTTTGGAGGAAAAACGGAAGTATCAAGATTGACTAGTAATACTATGTGGTATTGAAATAATTACAGTGACACTTCAGAGATAAGTACTGCCTTTAATTTACATGTTGCATGACCCAGACTGAACATTGACCAGCGAATAGTAGATGCCTTTTTCAGCCAAGAGTTGCTGATGAGTCCCTTGTTCTACAATCTTGCCATTCTGGACCACTGCGATCTTGTCAGCGTTCTGGATGGTGGACAGGCGGTGAGCTATCACAATGCAGGTGCGACCTTCTCGGGCTTTATCCAGGGCTTCTTGGACAACCTGTTCAACGAACAAATCAAAAGGTGAATAAAAAGTATAATGCTCTGGAATTATTTCCAGCAGTTTGTAGTGCCAAATACCTCAATTGCCATCTCCTAAGTAAATTGTAATATAGCAATGACAGAAGGGGAATATCTGTGGCTTTAGCTTCCAGTTTTAGATTTAGCCTGTGCTGGCAAGGAGCAAAAAGTATTACAGCAGATAATTCCACGATAGCTAAGAGGAGGAGATGGAGCCAGGCTCTTTACTGTGATGCATGGCAGAAGAACAGGAGAAAATGCTCATAAATTGGAATAGGGGAGGTTCTGAGTGGATGTAAGAAAAAAATTTCACTGCAAGGATAATTAAGCATTAAAACAGGGACTGAGAGAGCTTGTGGAATCTCCGAGGAGGTTTTCAAGGACTTGACTGGACAAAACCTTAAGCAACCTGGTCTGAATTCAGTGTTAACTCTTGCTTGAACAGGAGGTTTGACTAGAGAGCTCCAGACATCCCTTCCGTGATTGCTTAATCACATATCAGAGTTAAGTCAGTTGTCTTGAGCCAGCTACTAGCATACCAGTTCTACTGATTTCACAGCGAGTCTTGCGAACGATGCTTTTCTTAAAGCTACCTCTGGCAGAAAAATATTAATAAGAATCTCAGCTTTCTTTTCTTTATTCCTTGTGTTTATTAACACAGAATAAAATAAGATATTAAATACTTGTATCTAAATGGCACATAGTTAAGAAAGCAGGATCCTGAAATGTATTTAAGGGCACTTTTTCACCAAACATTAGGATTTTATGCCTAGAATTGATCAAGGCCTAGTCCCTACATTTTGAGCTTTTCAGGTTAAAGTTGTCCTATTTCCCCCTCCCCAATAAGTGCATTTGTAGCGCCCGTGTTGATTTTCTACAGCCAAATTGTGCTTCTGTTACACCAAGATTTCAGCTTTGGGAATAAAAAAAGAAATATGTAGCAGTACATTCTGGCAATTTTTTCCCTGAACGTTTGCATGCCAGCCACGAACAAATAGAAGGAACTGAAAAGCAATATGAGAAATAAGTACAATTATCAAAAGCAAGACTTGACCATTTCCCAGGAAAAAAAAAATTAGCTGTCATTTCTGTGACAGCATCCTCAGACTGTTCAGTTTCTGATATTTCTTCCTCCTCGTTCAATTCTGATAGAATTTTCCAGTTGAAGCCTGAAGAATTCCAAACATAGAAATACCTTCTTCATTGCTACTTCAGTCAGCCTACTGCCATACGAAGAGAATGATACGCTCTTTTGGGAAGGAGAAGTAGGTCTTTCATATCATATAAACAAACACAGTTTTAGATCCCAGACTCTTTGCTCACAAGCAAGTTACCTTTTCACTTTCTGTATCTAAGGCAGATGTAGCTTCATCCAGTAGCAGAATTTGGGGCTGACGTACAAGAGCTCGGGCAATAGCAATACGTTGCTTCTGACCACCAGAGAGCTGGGTTCCTTTGTCTCCTACACGGGTATTATACTTCTAGAAATAAATATATTAAGTTCAGAAGATGAATGCAAATACATCAGTCCGGAGTGGATCTAAGCATATTGACCCTAGCATTAGCAATCCATAAACTGAATATTCCATACAAATAGCTCTCTGAAGACAGATGTTCAGAATTGCTAGCAGTCACAAACCTATAAATCTTTCTAAAAGACGACCTTGTAGCATCAAGTGTTTCATAACTCTCAATGCCCTCCTACAAGCAACAACACCTGTAAGGCTGGAAAGCAACATTATTCTCAATCAAGAGATGGGACACTGAGGCACAGTGCAAGTCTATGGCAACACTGGGTATCAAACCCTGAGCTTAAATTCTACAGACTAGTATCCTAATCAATTATTCTAGTCCACATTTGTTCATCATGAAGAAAAAGTAGCAACTTATAAGAGGCATCAGCATAAGATGCATCAGGGCCATATACTAATACACACATACATATATGCATGTATGTGTGTGTGTATATAATTAGAGCTTGGGGCAATTAGGTTTTAATGTAGGTGCCTCAGTTAAGTGGGATCAGTTAGGCCTCCGGACAAACTCATGTGTAGGCCACAGTAGCCTGTCACTTACTATATATTTTGTTGCAAAAAGCACACAAGTTTTATGAGACATCATTATATAGCACTATTTCTTTACACAGTTTTGGAAACAGCAGATCTCTTGATAACAGCCATTAGAAACTGAACGAGATATGCAAAAATTCTTGGACCTTCACATCTGTGTTTTCCAGGAAACACAAAAATGCAGCTAAACAGCCTAAAGTTAAGCTGCATATAAGCAACATGCAATTAAGCTGGCAAACTCCTTCCTTCAGGATGTTGTGGATATCACAAGCTGACATAGGTTAAAAACCAATTTGTCGAACTCACAGAAGAAAAGTCAGTCCAGAACTGTTAAATAATAAAACATGATTTCTTTCTTAGGAAGTTCCTGAGTAATGAATTAGCAAAGTTAGAGGAGAATTTAGGGGAAACATGATTAAATTTTTAGCCTTTTTGTATACTTTACTATAGATGTGTCCTGTTAGTCACCACCCGGAACAAGATTCTGCACAAAGCAGACCTCTGATCTGACTCGGAAATTTCATTCTTACATTATTTTGTCTTGTTCAGATATATATGAAAGACCTGGTCATTTCTGAATCACAGAAATACTAGAAATTTTAATTCTTACTAAGTACAGCTGGAAGAAATGCCTATGAGCAATCTGATTTGCGTTAGGAATTTTTGTTAGTCTAGCTGAATCCTCCTCATCTTCTACATATGCTAAATAAGGAGCTTGCGATAAATAAGGATATGATAATAATAATATGATAAATAGGAGCTGACAAAAAAAGTTTCTAACTCTCCTAAAAAACAAAAAAAAACACACACTTTCACCTTTCAGTGAGCTGTATGTAATTTGTTTCGCTGAAATCATAAATGTTCTTCTCTCCCAGAGCAGAACCAATGGAGTCTCCCAGAATAAAAATAAAGTATACTAAACACAATAAAAAAGGAAGACTTTAAAAATATACTCTTCCAGGTCTAGTCATATCTTAGGGTTTCAAAAATGGCACAATTTTTCCCTGCCACAGTAGGTCACTCCCAGTTTTGAGTAGGAAAGAAAAGATACAACTTACATTTGGTAGAGATTCAATGAAGGAATGAATATTGGCTTTTATTGCCGCACTAACAATTTCCTCATGTGGCACCTCCCGACTGTTATCTCCATAAGCAATGTTCTCAGCAATAGTGCAGTCAAACAACATTGGTTCTTGTGAAACGATTCCGATTTGAGATCTAAGCCATTGGATATTTAGTGTCTTTGTGTTTTTGTTATCAAACAGCTGAGAAGGCAAATATTTTAAATTTCAATCACATGGACATATCTATCTTTGAGACTTATTGCAAATTCATACCAAAAGTTGTGCAATTGCAGTTCTTTCCATAGAGATTCCAGGTTGAATATCACATAATCACTTCCTCTCCTTCTTCCCAAAGTTCCAAAATGTTCTAAAGATTATGATATAAAAGCAAGGATACTCCCTTCTGCTTCCTTAGTTCTTTTCTTTGTTACAAGATTTCACAAGGATTTTGAAGACATTGGAAGGTAGGATAATGCAGAGGCTATTTCAAAGAACTTTACAAAAGCCCAAATTCTTTAAATTCCTTTCTTCTATGGAAAAAAAAAACCCTTTCATCTATTTAAATGTCTTTTATATACATGTTCTCATTGAAAGAACAGACTGGCATTAACATTCCTTTAAAATAAAAGAAGAGTTGGGTTCATTCATTCATACACTTCTAAACCAAGCACCAATCGTACATGTAATTGTGATGCAGTGTCTAATGACAGACAAATTTACTTCTGGATTCTCTACGATGTCATTTGCAACCAGTTTTCTATACTGATAACTCACATTTCTGCTCAATTTCGCTACTGAGTTGTTATCCTTGCCTACCAGATAAGAGACAATATATTTTTTTTCTAGATACATCAGTTTCATAAATATACCATTCACATCAATCTGGATGCAAATACACCAGGAGATTAAGAAGGCTGTTGCGCCTCCATTAGAACCATGCAGTGCAGTGTTAAGGCTCTGTGTCATGTGATATGACTAGTGGTGTAATTGAAGAACTTCCCCATTCACAGCATGCCTACATCCATGTGATTAATCTACCAATGCTGTAGTTTGTGCTAAGGCAGCCTACTTTAAGTCAATAGAATTCTTTTTCAGAGGAAGAAGATCATAATGAACATGATCCAAAGTCCACTGAAATCAGTGGCAGCATTTCTACATCTGTAGATGTGAGGAAGAAAAAGCTAGAAAGCAGACAAAGTTGCTTTCAACTATCTGATACGTATTTGCCATCTCTTTTCCTTAGAATTCCAATGCATTTGCAGGCTGCTATAAGGTCTGCTTTCTGTTCCACATCTGATGTGAAAATCATTGATGAAGCTAGAACATTATTGAAACATTTGCATTCTGGATCCACCATATCAGATAGCACAACTTTTTGGCATGGTTACTCTCTTTACCAGACTAGCACAACGCTAGTCTCACTGTGGTGAACAGCAGAGCTTTTGAGCGTAAGCTTGTATCATCACTCAGTTTACAGTGCTACTCAACACGTGAACTGGTGTGCTGCTTTTGTGGTTTCTGTGCTAGTGACTTGTGCTTTTTCCTCCCCTTCAGCCAACCATTGCTGGTAATTTGTGGCTGCATGCTCAAAAACATTGGCCATGAAGTTGCACTTAATTAAGCATATTTTTTTATGCTTCCTCTTTCTACATATCAGTTTTCCATACTGGAGGTGTATGCACATTTCTGTTCTCAGACACATCTTGCCCATCACACCTAGGCCTTATGTTACTAATGCTGTCACTTTGCTTTATCTTTGGTGAGCACTTCTGTAGAGACAAGTTCTGAAATCCTTCTAACTCTGACCTGCAAAGTCTCTCCACAATACAGGGGTTCTTCTTCAAATAAAATCTCTGAACCCATTAACATTGAAGAGAAAATGGCAGTAAGCAATACCATTATGTAAAGAAAAGTATTGTAAAGTAGATGAATAAATTAAGTAGTGCAGGCAAATCTAGCCACATTTTAAATCTAAACTATTAGAAATACTTACATAGCATCTATCACTTTGCTAACTGGGTAGATCTGAAAGACACTTAACTAAAAAGGAAGATAAAATGATATTCTTCAGCATTCTTCACTGCTTTAAGATACAGCATAGATACCAAATTCTATTACTACACTATACAGACATAGATGTGGATATTTAATAACCTTTGGAAAGCTTCTACTATTAAAACATCAGGAAGTTTGCTCTGTATTCAATGCAGTCTTTCCACTGTCATTATTAGGCTGTAGATCAGGCACATTTTCACCACACAGATTTTGTTTCATTAATTCAAAACCATGTGAGAAATCAAAAAAACTTTTTTTATTGTTTCACTTCACTATATTTATATAAAGAATGCTGAAAATTAACTGGTTGTTGTTAATATTAAAAATCTTTTAACTCCCTCCCCAAACTAGAAATATCTATCATGTTTCATCATGCCAAATAAATACATTCTTATTTAATGTGCAGATATATTCTTACAAAAAACTCTTACCATTTCTCCGCTGAGTGGATCATAAAATCTCTCAAGCAGCTGAACAACAGTACTCTTTCCACAGCCACTGCTACCGACAAGAGCCAGAGTTTGTCCCTTTTCTACTTTTAGATTCAAACCTTGGAGAACTTTGACATCAGGTCGGTTTGGGTAGTTAAACATCACATCTTTGATCGTTATGTTTCCCCCAAATCTCTCCTATAATTGAAATAGTGTTATTTAAATAATTTAAGACAATTTTACAGATGATTCATATAGAACTGCAGAAGTCTTTTTTTATCTACTGATATCAATCAGGCTTTGCATTTGCTGGAATGTTGTCTTTTAACTCTGTGAATCTTTGTAAAACCAATAAAAATTAAATTACAGCACTGAAATATTTTGAAGATGCTCAAAATTTTGCTAGTTTTCACTTATGACCAGACCTTCAAAATAAATAGACCTTAAGACAGCATGGACAATTGGTAAACTTGCAATGGAGTATTTGGTTCTTGTTGTAATTTGGATAGTGCCAAGAATACATTGAGGTAAGCAACTAACCTGAGGGAGAGGGAAAATCAGCAGTCTGAAGTAACTGACAAAAGTTCTGCCTGTATTGTCAATAGACAAAATTGCCCATAACAGTGCTTACTTACAGGCTTCAGTCCTTCCTCACTGTAACTGTCTATTGAGGGTACTCTTTCAAACAGCATGAACAGATGACCTGCTGATATCTTGGCTTTGGCATAATCTGGAGCAAAAGAGCTGCTTTGACCTAGAGCCATTGCACCAAATACAACAGCTGAAAACACTCTATAAAAGAGACCACAAAAGAAGAAGAAAAAAATTAATAAATAGACAATGAGAAAAGGACAATGGAAACAGAGCTGCAGTCAACTTTTTATTTTATTTGGGAAAAACAGAGGGCTAGATTTAACGACAGTAAAGCACTAACCACATACTACTGTTTTAATTATTTATTTTTTCCAGAATTAAATTTTATCTCCTTTTAATGAAGTGAGATAAGATTCCAGTCAAAATTCAATGTTTTCATTACTTATTGACACTAATTTCTTTTATTACTAATACTAGTTAACTGTATCAAATCTCAAATGGAGCTAGGAAGGTAGTGGTCCATGGATGGCCTGGGAGTTTGTGATCCGTTTTTCAGGCATTAACGAAAAGCAAAAAAACCCCATCCTCTAGCAAGGTGACAATAAAGGTTTAATTTGCTATCACCGCTCTACCGAAAAATTATCAAGGGCTTTCAACACCAAAAAATCACAAAACAGAAAAAATAAAAAAACCCCCACCCATCTATGCTGAAAACTACACTATTATCGTTCTTATGGTAGATGTACCTTTACAGACTGCATTAGAGTGGTTTGAGAACCTGCTGTCTTCAGCTCTTAATTACTACCACACAGCATAGGATTACTCATCATCGAGAAACGATAACTGACCGTATGAGACCTCTGACTGTTTTGAGGCAAAAAGTGAAATAGATTAATTTACATGAACTTCAGAGCTATATAAATTAATCTGCTTTATGTTTCGACTGCCTCCAGTTCTTTCTTCTCTATGTTTGTTCTCTATGTTCTCTATGTTCTTCTCTATGTTTGTTAACATCTATAAAGCTATTTCAATGTTATCCTACAAATTCCACCTAACACCATCTTTCCTCAGCTTGCCAACAACAAAATCGATATGATTGGCCTTTCTTAGGTATTGAGATCAGTGCTTTCCTACTGGTAGAATCTCATTTTTTTCATACCTGTTTCCATAGGCCTGTATTGAGCTGTTGCCTCTTCTCTTACATTGTAAATTATCTTTCTCCTGAGTTTATATAGGACCTTGGAGGAACGGGTGTTGGTTATCGTAGGGGCTCTGAGGTACTATGGTAACTGACTGGATAAAGAGCGATTATAAAACCGAAATATAAAAGTAAGAAGCTAAGGATAAGCCATAGCTTCAAAATCCCTCCTTTCATTTTTGTACAGTTTCAGTCCTTAAAAGCCAATAAAGTGACCTTAAAGACAAGAAATTGTACATTCCTTGTATAATTACAGACTGTAGTGGACACACTCTCTAGGAGAACTGCAAATTGGAAATACTTTATCTGCAGTATCTGTCTAAATTAAAAGTAAAATGCTATACCTCACTATGAGTATGTATAGCACTCTGTATATTGTTCCTGTACTCATGGTTCATTCTTTTTTCCCCACACAAAATTGGTTTGATTAACCCTATCATCTACAAAAATCTAGCCTTCTTTCCCTTACGGTGCATAGCATCTACCCTATAAAATAGAACATTACTCTGCAGTTATTTAATGTGTATTTTATAACAGATTTCAAATTTTGATGGATTAAACTGCCCTAGAAATAACAAAGCCACTGATAAACTATTCTGAAAAGATTTCTTTACAATATCATTATGCTCCAGTAACAGGTACAACTATGTTTTCTTTTAGAAAATACAGCAGACCTCTTCAAGCTACACGAACAATAAGGCGAGAATAAACAAAGAGATACTTACAAAAACACGCTTTTGTAAACCATGAATCCATTTACCACGAGATAGGCACCAAACCGGAAACAGCCAGCATAGGTAAAGAACATCATTGCTTGTGAAAGGGCAAAACAAAGACCAAATATATGTGCCTTCTTCACAGAATTTCTGCAAAGAAGAATGCATATTTTTGTATGAATGAGTAATCATACTTAAATCTTTTTAAGTCAAAAGCAGTTAATTCACTTCAGATGCTGCTGTGATAAATGGGAAGTACTCATCTTAAGGGATTGTGTAAGTTAAAGTACTTATCTCCTTAGACTGTGTCTAAGAGAAAAAGTTTTTGTTTGTTTGTTTCCAGAATTCTGCTTACTTCTAAGAACAGACTGGAACATGGAGACAGGAAAATGTGGCACCTTACCTACTATGTCTATTGTCTTAGCACCTCACAGTTTGAGTGTTAAAATATTTTACGGTTGAGTCCATGATTACAACTTTTAAGACTTAAACAATATCATCAAAATTATATTACTGCATCACATAAGAAGGGGAAAAAAAGAAGTCTTGGTTCTTTATGTAAGCAGAAGTGCTTTCAACCACAGAAAATTTTCTTTGTCTCTTCTTCTTTACTTGTTACCCAAATAACAAAGATGTTCAACAGGTCAGTATTATACAGTTGGGAATCTGTTTCTTTCAAAGTTCATCAGCCAAAATTCTTCTCCTGGGTAAGATTTAGCCTGCATGTATGTTGCGTAAATGAGATCTTGGATGATAAAACTATGTATATAACTAAAAGCAGAGTAGAGAGAAATTTCTGCTAATATGAATTTTATCAGAAAAAAAGAAAGAAAATATTTTAACTATACTGATAGAGATTTCAATTATATTGATGTTATTAAGTCGCCATTGTATGGTTCCTTTTGGGGAAAAACAGAATCCAGATTCACAAATATGCCTTTTTGATAAAGAGGCTGCTGTCCCTTCTCTTTTATATAGCCAATTTGTGCATTAATCCAGGATAGCAGAAGATCTAAGTTCAATTTTTATAAAATATAAATGCTTTGCCTACTCAGTGGTTAAAGATGCACTGAGACATTAAGTCAAAAAAACGTGTCCCATCTCCCACATGACAAATTGTCCCATAGGAAAAATAAATACTTTATTTCTACTGGAACAACATTAATATGAAAGCCTGAGAGCAATTCCTCCAATGACAACCCTAAGAATGGTTAGGTACTGTGCTGAAAGTCGTGAGGTATGTGCTCAAATCTGAGTAACCCGAGAAAGAAATTAAACTAGTATCTCTTATATCCTGCACTGTGCTCTAATCGCTAATTATTACAGTGGATGTATTGGCAGCACCTTTTCTTGTCTGTCTCCCATATTTGTGTACATATGCTGTCACTTCCTTTACTTTTCTCATGAAAGTCTGAAAATGAAATTTTTCATTCTGAAACAAAAACAAATTTGACAGCAACATTTTCGGTTTTCATTTTAAGATTTTTTCCTTTTGATTTAGTCCAAGCAATTTTCTTTTGTGGTAGTCACAAAGCAATAAGTAATTATTCAAATGTTTTCAGTCCTAGCCATGCTTTCAAAAAAAGGTTAATGAAATATTCAATTTACATAAAACAGTTTTTAATTAAACCTAAATATTTCAGCTGGGAGGTTAGATTAGATGACTTCCAAAACTCAAAACCAAGATTTTTTGAAAGCGGGTGATATTGCAATAAAAGACACTAATATTACCACAGAAAATTAATTAAAACAAAGAACAAAACATACAGTTCTTCCTGGTGGTTACCTCGGTTAATAAAAAGATATAAAAAAATCTTTAATGTATTCTTACTTCAAAAGTAATGAAAGCAATACACATGAACAAAAAATAAATTCATGTTAGTCCAAGTAAATGTCTGCAATTTGTTCTAAAATTAAAACATGGATTTTATTTCTTTAGTTATTTTACTATACCTGTATGGTATCTGCAGATGTTCTCCATACATGAACTCAAATTTTCTTTCTCGGGTCAAACTTACAACAGTTCGAATATTTTCTATGGCTTCTGTGGCAATCTGCAATTGAAACAGAAATACTTTAATCAAAACTATCAAAAATCAAAACATACAGGAAAAATAGTTAGTCGAAAGGAAAGGAAATGTATCTTTTCGCTTATATGAAAAAGCCCATGGAAAGATCATTATGCCAAACTTCCAGTTAGCTTGGAGGGACAGAAATGTTTTTGTGCAGCTTTATCCACAGAAGTAAAGGGAGGAAAATAGAAACAATTTAATAAATGGGAGTTAATGAGGGGACTCAGAGCCACATTAAGACACACAAATTTAGGTGTCTATGCTACCATTAAGTTAAGGGAGTTCTGTTCAACAGAACCTAGAAAGCAATTCAGCTCGCCAGCCACTAAATGCCCACTTAAAAGTTTCATTATCCAGGATCTCGACTAGAATGGTAAAAGGCTTAACTCAGTTACCCACCTATAGGTGTTCCGACATCAGAGATGCAGATACTCAAAACTAAATTTAGGTGTCTTAATCTGAAGATTAATACTATTGCTTATGTGCATGCCCTTAGATAAATGACTCTCTTCTCAGCAGCTTTTTCAGTAGGACACAGGAAGGGAGTTCAGAAAAGTTTTACCTCTAAGAAAGTAATACTTGGGAAGTGATGAAATAGTTGTCCTGTCACAAAAGGATTTTGGAACGAAGTAACATTAAATGCCTTCATCTAACTTCTCCTTTAAACAAGAGCCTAGCTTTCTTGCTTTTCAGTTCTCATCTTTTCCACTCAACAAATAAGAAATGGCAAAGAGATTCAGAAACCAGTGGATATATCCCTGCAAACATTGATAAGATGAAAGAAAAAAAAAAGAAAAAAGAGCATTGCAATATGCATAAGACAGATGACATGCCAAAAAGGATCCCAAAAAAGAAACAAGATAATGTCAAAATTAAGGGGGCTGCAAAATAGGGAAAACAGAGAGGTGATCAGAACAGGAAGGAGGAAGATGTGCTAAGAATTCTTCAAGCACAAGGTAAATGCAGAGAGTTTGGCTATCTTTGAAAGTAATATTTTATGGCATAAACTATACTTGGAAGTAACATGTCTATTATCAATGCCCTGGCAAACATTACTGTATATATTACACAGAAACAGACAAAATTCTCCAGACTCACCTTTCCTGCAAGTTCCAGCTCCTTTTTATCTTTCTTAGCGTGTCCAGCCAGCATCTTCATTTCAATCATTCCTGCCACAGCGATGATTGGCACAACAGCTAAAAGTAATAAGGTCAGCTGCCAGCCATAAATTAGTGATATAATAATTCCAGTCCCAAGGTTAGCTATGTTTTGGGCAATTAATGCCAGTCTGACACCAGTTGCCTTGGGAGGGGAGAAAAAAAAGACAGTTTTTACTAAAGAAAGTGCATGTTAGATTAGGAAAGCATTTCCATCTACACTATTCCTAGTTCTCCAAAAAATATTTATACAGTCTTAACCCCTTTTTGCTTTATTTCAAAGTGGGAGTTCTTCAGCTATTCTTAAACAAAAGTCTGGATCACACTTAATTTTTCTCCGTATATTTTCAGATTACTCACAATTCCATTTGTGATTTATAAATGCTGCTCATAATGCTAAGCAGACTTTAAGTATATTAGATGTTTACATTTACAGCTTAACATTAGAATCTGTCACATTTCATAGATCATGCAACTAGCTTCTATGAACTACACAGAACTCAATGCACATGAAAATTAAATTTTTTAACTTAAATTGATTAAGTAAAACTAAAGACGTCATAGAACTCCTCACTTCAGAAAAATAAAGCACAAGTTTGTGTAGTACTGAAGCTAGACACTCTTATAGCTTTAACATACAGGCATATTCAGTGCTCTTTAGCTTAGTATTACAGACCCCTTGACGTCCACAAATTACTTGTAAAGGATCTCCAAAAAAGTAAGAAGGAAAAGGAAGCCTGTTGGCACTATATTTAATTTTTTTCATATAAGGAATCTGTATAATGGGAAGGAGAATAGAAGAAAGTCACAAACTGAACAATCAAGTTCAGATGCATATCTTTGGGTAAACAAGATATCTCTGAACAAACTTCTTGGATAAACAGATTTCTGATTTATTTATTTTTCAATAATAAAGGTTGCAGCACAACATAGCAACAATCTTAAAAGAAGATTACTCTATTTTACCAGGCAATATCCTTTATCACTGTTATAAAATACATCAGTGCATGCTATACCAGCTATCATTTTACCAGCAATGGTAAACTTTTAGTTGTTGTCAAAGTCAAGACTCCCCTTTAACCAGTCAAGCCCAAGTTCTAACTCTACTATATATTAACCCAAATATGAAAAAGGCCTATACAAAAATGTTACTCACTCCTTTCACTTGTGAGGCATCGTTAGCAAGTCTTGCAGTTAATGCTCCTGTGCTATTTCTAGTATCATCAAACCATCCCATATCCTACAACAAGAAACAGAAACATTTTTCTTGGGACCAGTCTTCCATCTACTTTATATAAGTCTTAAAATAGGACTGGGGTCTACATAATATAACTAAGTTCAATGTTAGAAGTCAATGTGTCCGTTCTGCATATTAAATTAAGCATAATTCCTTAATCGCACAATGAATATGTCCCAGAACCAAAATTTACCCTCTCCCACAGCTGTCGAAACTGTACCTTCTTGGAGGAAATGACTCATAAGTCACATTGCTTTGTAATTGCAAAGCTGTCGAGGGAAGAATTAATTGTAAAGCATTTTCAGGGTGAAAACTCCTGACTTACTGCTTTGTTTCTCCTCAGATTGAACAGACTCATTTGGAAGCTATGAGACAAGATCAAAAAATCTGGCCTCATTTTTAACAGTGCTCTACTCTATCAGATGAAGTCATTTTTGGGTCAGCTACACAGTTTATCCTTATTCAACATGTGACAAAATATCCGATTTAAATTGTAACATGTAATATTCACCATATGAAGACCTAGTGATGTAGTACAGGCCTTTGGGACCTCAAGAACAAATTATAGTACTTCTCTTTCATTAGGCTTTCAGTGATGCTGGTCTGTAGTTCATAGTTTTTCAGAATATGATAGCTGTCAGTTCACACCACAAATACTCATGTTTACATGAACAAAATTCTGTGTCTGCATGTGGCATTACATGCAAAACATAAGAAAGCAGAAACATTACATCACATATGTGAAAAATCAGAAACGCTGATCCTGAAACCATGCAATAACGGGGCCCATTTATGTAACTACATGAATTACTTAAAATTACTATAAAGATTTGTATTTTTTAAAATTCTCTGAAAGTGCCTTTACATTTAAGTATACAATCTTACTACTGCATTAACAAATGATGATTATGCATTTGGGAACTCTTTGAAAGAGACAAAAAATAAAAAGATTATCCTATTACAATTTAGATCAGAGATTTGAAATAACAATTATATAGTAAGCTGCACTGCATTGCATTTCTTTGCAGGAGAAGGGGCACCAAGGAAGAAAATCAGACAAATAAGCATGAAATAGGATTCAGCTGTTGTACATCAATTTGTTAAACAATGGTAACTTGGCTGTAAATCTAAGGCCTTACAAGGACTGTGTATAAAGTATCTTTGTCTACTAATACTTTACTTAACCCCCTGCAACTAGCTAAAATGGTTTCTAAACTGATTTAAAGAATATTCTTTGTAGAGCAAGTAGAATAGCATAGAATATAGGTATTTCATGATATCTAAACAAACAAAGATAAAAAATATTTTGCTTTCCAGAGTTCGAAAAATAATTACCTGTCTAAGCATTGCTTTAAATGCCATGAATCGAAGTCTCATTGTGAGAATTTCTCCAGCTTTACCAAATGTGAAACCCTATTTAAAAAGAAGTACAATGCTTACCATGCTATTACATTGTTTTGTATTTAGTCAATAAATATTTTTTAGATGCACTGTCTCTACAATGTCAAAATATAAAATATTGTAGTCATCATCACAGAAAACAAATGTAAAAACAGGTTTAATATTCACAAAATGCAGTAGATTCACAACATAGGCATTGAAATTTTACATTTCTGAATAAAATATACAGGGCACAGCAATATTTCCCAGCACTACCTCACCAGCATGCTTCTAGAAAAGGATCGCTAATGAACCCTTCGACTGCATTTTTAATCAGAGCCGACCTAAGTCAAATTTAAACAGGTCATTTTTAGGTTAAAAGCTTCATGAGGAAATCTAAGCTCACTGAAGTCAAAGGCAGATTTCCCACTGACTCCAATGGAACTATGATTTCTTCCCTGGAATCTGAATACAACATGAGAAAGCTATCAGTAACAATACAGAGTAATGTTTTATAATAAACCAAAAGCACTTTTAGCCAGATACATGAATCATTAACAAAATAAAAAAAGGAATGTGTTGATTAAAATTTTGTGAAGACACATTCATCCTACACTTTTGGTACGACATTAAATTTGCTTTGTTTAGCTCATTACCACCTTTTTGTGATTACAGGCATTAATACTTCAGAATCTACATTTGAGAAATTGTATGCCCGTGAAATATAAAACACAAATGAAACTCTAATATGTGATATTAAGAGAAACTGTTATGGCACATTCCAATGAACAAATATTTTTCTGTTAACTTTGATCATTGGCATTGTTGGGCTGATATACTGTCAATAAATCTCTGTAATTGTGATTTTTTTTTAATTCACACAATTCAAACACCTTAGAATGGGCAGTATATAAACAGATTGTGAAATCCATGTTCTTGTATTTCTTCATGCTCATTAAGTTGGGGGTGTCATATCTCAGTGAACTCTTCCCATTCATACGCTAATTTAAAACTTTATCTGCACTTTTATAAGCTGAGCAAACCCATCATATGCATCCACAGCTCAGTCTTCAATCATGACTCAAGGTCATTCTGCATTCATGTGTAATGAGGCAAACAAAACAGGTGTTTTTTGCAAGAGATTGTTGCATGTCCGTGCTGCTGTGTTTTAGGTTTGCTTCATTCTTACAGTGTGTGGACTCATTTAATGAATAAAGGTATACAATATTCAGAGATTATAAACCGGATTATATAAAAATATTTAAATGCCAAATTTTACCAAATATCTAATTTGCACTTGTGTAATATACTACTTTCTTCATTGTGGCACTGCTGTAGCAGTTAGATGCCTGTATAAGAATTAGGGCAGAGTTAAAATACTATTTTTACTGGCTGGGAATAAGTAGTGGATGTGAAAGGATAAGTTCAGATGGCTACAGGAATCAGTGAGAACGGAGATGCGGTATTAGCATCCAAATTTTATTATCTGACAGGAAGAGATAAGTATCAGCATGATGGGTATCACTTGAACTGGTCTGGGGGCTCATACAGGATAAGACTTGTAATGGGGAGGGGATAGGTGGATAAAAAATTGGAGGATGAAGATAGGAAGAGTTGGTGGACTTGTACTTACTCATAGGTTCAAATAGGAGGACTTGTGGTGGGGGGAGTAAGGAGCGGGATAGGGTATAGACAGGAATGGTTGGAGGTTAGGTGATAATGGAAAAAAGAGTTAGAGATTCCAGACTTGTGTGCTGAGATGTTTTTGGTGAAGAAGAGGGGGAGTTCAGAAGTGAAGAGGCTGGAATATGTTAGAAGGTGTCTGGAATGTGAGAAGCTGTAGGTCAGAAAAGATTCACAGTTCAGCCTGAAGCACACCTAGAACAGCATATGAGGATTCCGGTTTGAGTTGGAGGCATTTATTAAGAAAATTTTTAGTATATCTGAGATCTAGTTTCTAAAACATCATGAACAACTATAATAAAGCTAAAATAATAGAACATACCTGAAAAAAGAAAGTAAAAAATGAAACGATCCCAAGTGCTAAAAACAGCAGTGAATATAAGTTGCTCTTTTCTCTTATAGTGGCCTTGTCAGTTTCTGAAAAAATCTATAGAACAATATTTTAAACATGAATTTTTAAAAATCAGCTAATAATCTAAAATACTCCCATACTTCTCAGTAAGTCAGTTTGGCAATCATTTACATGTCAATGTTACACATGATTATAGGTATAAAAAGCAAATTTCAGGTTGTAAAAAGATTCATTTTCACAGTTTTGTAAATCTTGTTGTTCTGTAGATTTATCTAATCCATTCCTCAGCTTCCTAATGCAGGAACTGTTTTAAGATTCAGTTTTATTGTAAACGAATTTCACAGATTATATACCTTGTTATATACTTTATTCACACTTACCCCTATAATTTCTGAAAATATGATTGAAAATGCAGGTTGTAAAGCCCCATTGATAATTGCACATAAAGTGCCAACTACAAAGTATGGCCATTCGGTTTTGTTCAACTTCATAATTTTCAGAAATGAAGCCGGAGGTAATTCACTGTCCTAAAAAATAGGAATTTTGTTAGGATAAATATATAATAAATCTATGGAGAAAAACGGGAGATTAATAGTCCATCGCCTATTCCCAGGATCCATTTAGGGAAAGCCAAAATATATACTTTTTAATAACACAAATGATTAACTAACTGCATGTTTCTATTTATAATTTTAATACAAGAAAGAAAGCAAGCTACTAGAACATATCTATAGTTCTTGTCATCTCATTTGAGCTTAATTCACATGATTTACATTGACCAGTGCTCTTGGTATTGTTTAATGGTGACTGAATTATTCATTCTGAACATATTGGCGTGTGTAATCCACAACTAGATTGTTATTTCAAGTAATTGTTCATTGAACAATTAATAACAACAGATGGCTTAGTATTTCCTGCAAGTGTTAATGCACTCATCCGATATCCCAGGTTTGTTGCAAGAGTTCTATGTTGGGCCACACATTTTGGTTCTGATTCAAAAATGAATATTTAACTTATATAGACTATGTCTTTATGGTATTCAAATACACTAATGCATATTTTTATAACAAATTTAAATTTACTTTGAAAAATAAATTTATCGCAGTTACAGGCTAAAAATGTCCCATTTTAATTGTATAACAGCTCACATAGGATAATGAAGCAACTTATGAATATTATCAAATCAAAAGCTATTTAGAATCAGAAAATTGTCAAATTTTACCCCTATATCAAATGCCTTTTTCTTCTTGTACATTTTAAAGCAGGAGAATAAATTGCATTTCAATGCACTTTGTTGAAAGATATCAAAGTCCATTAAGAGCTTGCAAAGGTACTTACCGGCAGATCAGTTTTCACATCAGAATCATCATTCTCTGTTCCTGGCTTTTTAAAGCTTCTCCGAGTTGATCGTCTTCTCAATCCTTTCATTAAGGATTCTTGCAATTCTGGTTCAGACCCACTTTTTTTGACACTAAGTACACTTTCATCTTTTTCTGATGATTGAACGTCAGTTCCTATTGTCTAAAATGGGGAAAAACATGACATTAAGATAAATTATGCATATATTAAGTGAATGTTCAAAATTATAAGAAAATCAATGTAAACGTAACCAAAATCACAATTCAGTGGAAATAGATATAGGTAGAACAGAATATGATACTATAAAGTTAAAATTACTATATTTCACTAGATCTATACCTTCAGAACTTGATTGATATACACTCACTCCCAAGAAAAAATGAGGAGGCAGGGGTGGAAATAGCTGCCTTTTTGTTTGAATTAACTCCTAACAGAGATTTAAATTGAGTACGAATGATTTGTACTCATCTGGGATCTGTATGAATAAGTCCTCATAAAGTGAGGAAAATGACTCTCCTTTTCAGTGTAGAGTTCTCTTACAATTCTTGATTTAAAATGTAACAGGGAAGTTTAGGATGTAGCAGGTCAAAAAGATTTTAATTAAAAAAATCAGAACAGTCAGAAGAAGAGCTCTACTTTTGGTGGTAGCTTCGCCTGTCTCTTTGGCAGAATAAATAAATACCTACCCACCACTGAGGACTTTAATAGTAATTGGATTCAAAGCCACATTCCGTTAGTGTTTCTTTTTTCTCAGAAAATTTTTGTTATTTCTTAGTATTTTTTAAATGATTAAGAAAAATCACTTTGTTTTCTATTTTACATTTCCTAATTTTTTCAGTCACCATGTTTACATGAATACAAGCTTACTCTGAAGGTGACTAAATAAATCCTCATTGTTATTTTATATAGAACATTTTGAATTGGCCCAGTTTACTCTTGTCATTCTAACATACTGAGATATCTTTCAATTTTTTTAATGGGCACGCTGACCATGCAGTAAAACATCAGTTATATAGAAAGCCACAGTGAAACTCAGCCTGTCACATGTGACATTGGGATGTACCAAAGTGTTTTGTTCTTCCCTTAATAACAAGTATGTTTCTGATACTCTCATCTGATTTTTAACTTATGATCTCTTTGTTTCTGGCTACATAGCTTAAAATATAGCTTTTTACACTCAGCACAACATGTTTTTTTTTTCCCCCACTCCTCCCTCGACATTTTTTCTTTGAAAGAACCTCAGCATGAAGAATTAGAATCAAATAAGTAAATATGCATGCCCTATTCCTCTGGTATTAACAACCATATTTTACCTTGCATGTATCACAGGCTAAGAACATGCAATGGACTAGCAAACTATTGTATGTTAGCTGCTCTACATTACTTGCCCCCATACCTGCCTAAAAAGAGAATATAAAATAATCCTTTAAGTTTAAATCCCTAAAAGATTAAAAACATATTTTCCTAGGTTTAAATAGGTCAGGTATGAGATTTGGTGGTCTTTTGTCTCAAATTATTCTTCTCCTTTCTAAGTATATATTTTTCGCTGTTAACAAAATTCGCTGCAGAATTTCCAATACATCTAAGACCATACAATAACTATTGGTATTGAACACAACAGGGAATATCAGGAAACAGCTTGCAGGAAAAACTACCTGCATGTTAACAAGTTTGTAGTAGATTCCCTTTCTTTCCATCAATTCAATATGATTCCCTTGTTCTGTGACAATTCCACCTTCAAACACAGCTATACAATCAGCATTTCGGACTGTTGACAGTCGATGAGCTACGACAATCGTGGTGCGTCCTTCTCTTGCCTAAAAATAACAAACTTTTATATTAATATCTCTAAGTATATTCAAAATTTTTTCATCTTCATATTAGAAAAATGGAAACACTAAAATTGTCCATAGAGAAACAATATGTTCCAAAAGAATTTTAAAAGTAGATTTTAATGAGTACCTTAAAACATGAATATAATTTTTAGCTTGAATAGAGATATTAAAGATAATCTTTTGCTGTGGAACAAAAAAATCAGATTTTGCTCATAAGTATTTTAAAAAATTGTCTCAACATTGCAAATTTAAAAACCTTACACATTTTTATATTTAAAGCTGTGGTCTTATATTTAAACCTTAAAATCTGTGGTTAGTTTATATTCAAGTAATCAAGGAAATATATTTAGAAGCGTTATTGAAAGTGTTTTACACTGGCTTTCAAAAAGAGTTCAGTGTTTAAAGCTCTAATTCACTGCCCATTCAAATAGCTTCACAGAAAATAAAATTCCCTAAAATTTCATACAAAATGCATTTTAATTAGCTACCATTTTGGATGTTTATATGGCTATCATGTATCATACATCAAATATGGCCCTTTTCATAACCAACCTGTATGAAAATGACCAAGGAACTTATAGCTTAAATAATCAGATTAATGATCACAAGAAGTGGAATTCTGAGGGCACGTGATGGAGTCCATCTTCCCTAGGACTTCTGCAAAGGTTTATGAAGATCCCAATTTATAAGATAATGGCACAAAGAAAAGCTGGACAAGTGACTATATTCTTCTTTAAATATATTTCCATTAATAAATTCTCCTCAAACTGTCTGTCTTTACCCAACACTGTTATTCCTGAAGTCATATGCAGGAAGCATTATAGCACTCCAGTTGGAAGACAGCCTGATTGGGTAAATTCAGAATAGCATTTGGGGTACTGACACAATATGAATACACAGAAATTTTGTTTTAACTCCTGAGTTTTATCAGGGATCAGCTGTTCCTGTAATGGTCTCTACACTGAGAAGAGAATGAGCACCTAGAGGCATTCATACTGACAGAAGAAAATGTTTCCTTGAAGTGTTTCCTGCAGGTAAAGAAACAGGTTACTGCTACAATCACTTACGATGTCCTGGTAGCTCTTATCCTGTCTGTCAGGTTTCAACACAAGTTAATCAACTAGGAGAATGACAAGAATGTGAACATCTGTAAGAGAGTGTATTGTGGGGATGGCATTTATGCCAAGAAAACTTGAGTTAAGATTAATAACACATAAAATGCTATATCTCCACTTGAAACAAGATTCTTCCTTGTAATACCTGCAAGATCTCAAAAAATACACCTATCTTTACTAACAGAAAACATTTCCCAAATTCAAGCTTACTTTATGCTTTTTAAGGATTTCTATTTCTTGCAACTCTTTAAATACATGTCTGAAAAGAGTGAACAATGGGCTCCTGCTCACATACTTCCTTTCAGAGCGATACTGACCTTGTCCAGGGCTGCCTGCACAACTGATTCACTTTCAGTATCCAAAGCTGATGTTGCCTCATCAAGCAGAAGGATTTTAGGATTGCGAACCAGAGCACGGGCAATTGCTATTCTCTGCTTCTGGCCTCCGCTCAGCTGTGCCCCTCTTTCTCCAACCATGGTTTCAAACTTCTGCAAGACAACAACAACGCGCTTCCAGAACACTCCACGGCACAGTCCTTTTGCCAATGAAAGGCAGCATAAAAAAGGCCACGTGTGTGCCTTCAGTAGCACCGGCAGAATCCTTGCCCTTTTCTAAAACACTACAGGGTAAACACTCATTTGAATATGCCTTCCTCAGTCTTCCTGCCCCTAGAGTTCTAGCATTTCGCACACTCCCGAAACGCTCATCCAACCAGGGCTGAAAGAGTTGACATTAACTCTGCTCTCACAAAAGTTATGAGAAAGCTCTCTGTAGTCACAGCTCCAGGGAGAGCTTCTTCTGTCTTCTGCGCTAGGAAGAGCCCTTCTAAGGCACTCTCTGGCAAGAGCAGGCTTACTCGAGAGAAACTACTTCACCAAGACAGCGGGTCTGCTTACATTGGGTAGCTTCATGATGAAGTCGTAAGCATTAGCTTCCTTGGTAGCTTTTTCAATCTCTTCCATGGTGACGTCCTCACGGCCATAACGAATATTTTCTGCAATAGTAGTAGCAAACAGCACGGGCTCCTGATTCACCACACCGATAATCTCCCGCAGATATCTGACGTTGAGGGTCTTAATATCCTGCCCATCAATGGTAATCTAAACAAAGGGATGCAGAGGAAAAGAGCTCACCGAGTGTTTTGGCCAAGGCACCTGGCTCCCCCAGGTTGGCCTATGCCGTTTTAGGGCAGACGTTTGAACAAGGGCAAAGAGGCCAGAGCTACGCTTCAAACAACGGTGACGTACACAGCGGTCATCTCACTTGAGCTATCTTACCACGCCTTCCTTGGGGTCATAAAATCTCTGGATGAGCTGAACAGTTGTACTTTTCCCGCAGCCGCTGCCACCAACAAGGGCTACTGTCTGGCCACAGTTAACCTTGAGATTCAAGCCTTTCAGGACCTTCATGGAATATGATAGAAAAAACATAATGTCTAAAAATGTGAGCTTAAATTTAGGAGAACTCTAATGACTTGAGTGAAATTTTCTTCACGTTTGCATCAGAATTGGTCTAGCAGCAATACATAACACATTTCACAATTACCCCTATTGTGAACCAGTTCATACGACAAAATAACATAACGTTATAACTACACAAAATTAAGAATAATATAATAATACTATGATGCAGTATTTTTGTACTATCACCTTTTTCTGGAAAGCACCATAGAAAATAGAGGAAAGTTATTATACAGTAGAACTCACACTTAGAAGTGACAGAATATACTCGAGATTTTTCCCCTGCAGACTGGAATGGCTGGTGGGCCTTCTCTGTAGCTGTGAAATTGTGTTGAACAGTAGACACCTTTTTTGTACTAGTAACCATAAAATATAGCATTTCACAGCAATAGAAAGTACGAAGTTTTTCTTTCCTTGGGATTCTTACAAAGGGCGAATATAGCTCTTTGGTGCCTTGCAATTGCTCCTTTGTTTTATTTTCAAGAAAATAACCTGTATTGGGCTGTATAGTGAGGCTAGACAACAGACACATTATTAGCATCCCAATGCCATGCTGACTCAAATTTGCCCACCTTTCTGCTTAACCCGCTCATCTGACTAGAAAGAAAATATTGCCATAGAGAAAGGGAACATAACCTTCCAGTAGTTTTATTTCTACTCAATATGAGGAACAGGTAAATAGGAGTCTATATAGCTTTTACTACTTTGTACAACCAATGTGGTTGAAAACGTATACTGAGATGGTGAAAAGTTTATTTTTTTGCTAATCAGTCTTCTAGAAGGACTAAGCTACAAAAAACTACTCAGACTTGAACACACCCACATCAGGGCTAAACTTTTCTTTTCTGAATATGCAAGCTATGTACCAACGCAATCCATTGTACTTCCCAATACATCGCCCATACTGTCTCCTTGTTATCATCTTCTCCTTCCTACATTTCTACTCTCAGCACTATTGCCTCTTCACCCTCAGTATTAATACTGGTGTGCTTCACTAGTGAGGTATATCTCACTGTTTGGGAACAAGAGGCGCAGACAAATAACTAAGTTTATCCTATTTTGTGAAAGTATTTATAGATAAAACAAAAAGTCTAACATGAGTAATAATAGTTGAACATGAAAGAGCCTTACCTAGCCTTTTTGTCACAGTCCTACAAAACATTTAGTCTATATACTTTGCCTGTAGCAACTCAAGCATACTTAAATGTAAATAAAAAAGCAATAGAGGTTGATCTAAAAAGTTAAGGATTATCACTGATTACAATGGACTATTGATCAGAACCTTTTTCTTTCACCAAAATAAAATCCATAATCAAATCCAGGTAGGCTGTTTCTAACCACTTAAAGCAAATGGAAGACAGTATGGACAGCAAATAAACCTGTCTAATGAGATAGGAAGTGCAGTCTTCATCATGCCTGTCATGTACTTTGCTGTACGTTCTTCTTAATCGTGTTGCAAACAAGAGTTAACCTGAAAGTCAGGCAGATTAAATATAGGCAGAACTAAAATTCCATGTGTTATTTGACCTCCTCCTCATTTTTGTCTTTACTTTTTGTTATGAATTACTTTCTAGCTTTTTGCTATAGCCTTAACTTCCTAAATTATAATCTCTGAAACCAGAAGGGAGAAATCTCTTTATTCATATCATACATGTATAAACTTAGAAAAGGACAAAACCTAGAGACTGATAGATATCCTTTCACTTATATTACTACAGGGAGAAAAATCAAGCATAATCATGTCATTCACCTTCTTGACAGAGGGATGAGCTGAAGTTTTTTTAAAGGACGAAAATGGTTTAAAAAGAAAACTCTGCCTTTCTTTTCTGCCTATCAAAAGTAAGAAAGATTCCTTTACCTAGATCAGCGATTTTCCTTCAAGGTAGGGAAGGAAATAGTTACATACTGCATAGATACTCTTCATTAACATATTTTCTGAAATCATTCAAGTCTCTTCCACTTCCATTGCATTAAGAAGCCCCGGTTTTATGAGAGTACTTGAAGAGACCAAACTTTTTCTCTATCCAGGCAGAATTTGTGTTCTATACATAACAAATCCTTGCTGGCTTTGCTTTATTAACTGATATAGTATTAACAGAGCTGCCTTGCAGCTACATTTGAAATCGACTATGTCATTATTTTTCTTATCATATACAAACACTTGCATTAGACCTATAAAGAAAGATTATGAGAACCTACACCTTTAAGTTTTACTGCACAACCACACTGACAGCAGGGGGTAAATCATTCAGAAGACTTAACATATTTAGTTAGCATTAAATTAACTTTAGGTAAAATCACTGTAGCGGTGCAAGGTATTTTCATATGATAGGATCAACCTGAAATTTCCATAGGATCAACCCGAAACTGTTAAATTTTCAACAAATTTTATTTACATGATTTTTTTTTCTTAATAAATGATTCACATATTTAACTGTAATATGTACCGACTTCATTTACAGTACCTTCACATCCGGTCTGGCTGGATAATTGAAGCAAACATTTTGGAATTCCAAATTCCCTTTAACATGGTCTGGTTTGTAGCCTGCCTCTGAATAACTGTCAATTTGAGGTTCCTGTGCAAAATAAAACACGCATGCACACAAACTTATTTTCTAATGATATTTTTTCACAAAGAAGTACTTGAGCACACCATCATTCTGTAGAAATATACTTTAAACTTATTCAGATGACATTTTTAAAAAATGCAGATTGCATGATGTTTTGCTGCTTCATTACTGTGTTCCTTAACTATACATGCAAGAATACTTTTATAGTTTTTCCATTTAAGCTTTTGTACAAATTTAGTACATTAAGACTGTACCCACAGCTAACAGCAATTTGAGATTCATTCCACTGCCTGATGATTAACCTGAACACATCATCTCTGATGAGCTATTACTGCGTTTTCATTTATAACTTTGCCCTTTCTGCTGAAACCACTTTTGTGAGAAAAAAATGGCCATTAAGTAGAAACAGAATTCTTAATGACCATTATTTTTATTTCCATCCAGGGTAAGTCTAGAACTTGGAGCATGTCTTAACAACAATCCAAAATGTGTAATTGCATTTCATACAGATAAATTCATGCTAGTTTCATTAGCTAGTAAAGTCACTGCACCCTCAATTTCAGCACCTCCTAGCAATTAAAGTACATATCCAAGATACCAGGTTGGGTTTGACAGATTTGCTAACACTCACGCTGCTGCTGGTGCCACTAATATCTTTGAAATCTGCGTTAGTATACCTGCATCAACTGTAATCACATCTTTATATAGCACTGTAGACATGCCTTTCACAATAAAAACATTAGAGGATATCTCCAATGCTAAACGTTCTAGTGCTCCAGTACTGTTACCTTTGATGAAGCAAGATTTGGTAATGCTAAGAGACAAAGAGGAACTGATGAATAATTACATATACTATCTGCTTGTATCCATATATATTTCTCTCTAAGAAAACAAATGAATTGTTTCAGCATGGTCAAGATCAGATAAATTTAGAAGTCAAATACTGCAGTAAATTGCTACAAACAGCAGTAAAGATAGCCTTTTATGTTATTAACAATTTAACAGAAATAGTCTCAACAACTTAAGTATCGGAAGGATCAATTTTCCTCCTTTGTTGCAGAAATCTGATTAAGGATGTTGGTTTTCCTTTCAGCCTTACATAGGCCTCCTTGAAAATACAGAATTGAGGTTCTTACTAATGGTAGCACAAATTCTTTTATTTTCTCCGTGTTGATATTTCAAAAAATTTTCAAAACCTGTCAGATAGGTATTTGAATTACATCTCATTTTACTCACCATTATTTACTCTTGCTAATTTCACATCCATAAATGGTGCCTGCACTATAAAAAGAAGGGTCTCTGAGGTTTGAAATGAGAGCCAGGGCAAATATACTCACATTGTCTATGGTATTAAAGACTGCATAGGCAGCTCCCCTTGCATTAGCAAATGCCTCTATGCTTGGAGCAGTCTGTCCAATACTGAAAGCTCCAATCAATACAGAGAAAAAAACCTGAAAGAAATTTTTATGATGACATTTATCAAGTCATAATTAAGCAAAGAATTACATTTATTTACATTACATAACTTTGGATCAAGAGGCTCTACAGCCGTTACGGAAGTTTAAAGAATCTAGACTTGAAGAAATGAAAAAAACAATAACATTAAGAAGAAAAGGGCTTCCCCTAATAAGAATCCTATAATAACTGTGTTCCTGTGCAATATACCTGCACATGTTGATGTTGCAAAGAGATTGCTAAGGATGAAAAAGTGACTGAGAACAGAATCTCCAAAATCTCTCCCCAGAAAGGTGCAATTCCACTTGCTATCTCAGGATATATGGTACTAATTCATTCTTTGGCAAAAGATGATCTGAAGGCAAGGAAGTATATTTCTGCATTAAGATGAGAAAACACTGTGTTCCCTTCAACGGCACGAAGGTGGATATGCAGAGTACTAGCGTTCTGCTTTCAAAGTGACAGGGGAATAGAAGCATACAACTCTATCTTCTCCATCAGAAACTAACTCGGGTTCCCTCTGCTGGAGCGGAAGAGGACAAGCCGAAGTGAGGAAAAGTAAGTGCAAGCAAGAAAGAACAAGAGAAAAAGACAAAAAATATCTTCTCAGAGAAACATAGCTCATTGCCTTCACGTAGTATCAAAATAAAAGTAATAAGAAGGGACTACTCAAATAGAGGTCATAATAAAAGTCATAGGTTGTCAGACAAAAGGCCCATCACACCATCCTATTTTCTCCAACAGTGGTCATACACAGGTGTGATACATAGGAAAGCATGTAAGAACAGAGCAAGCCACTGTTATACTTCTCCCTGCTACTCTTATATTCTCTAACTAAGGATGTGATCCTGTGCAATGTGCTCTAGGTGACCCAGCTTGAGCAGGGGGGTTGGACTAGACGATCTCTAGAGGTTTTTTTCCAACCTTGGCCATTCTGTGATTCTGTAACTATATTCTGATCAGAAGATTTCCTGAGGCAGACTGGTTTTGCATATCTAATAACCCTCAGTGGATTTCTCTGTCATGTGTGTATCCAGCCTTCCCTTAAGCCCATGTAAACTTTTAGCATTCACACATTCTTTGGCAAAGATTTTGCCAAGGCTTACCACCCACTGCATAAAGATCCACCTCCTTTTTTATTCTGCCCCTGCCTTTGACTAGTTTCATTTGGTGCTCCTTGTTCTAAAACGAGAAGAAATGCTAAATAATCGATCCAGATTCTCTAGATCTCTGTCGTTCTTTTCCCCTTTCTCCTCCACTAAGTAGTCCCTTTTCCAGACTGAAGGGCGTTAGTCTATTCAGCCATTCCTTACTTGGAAGGCATTCCAGCCATGTTGCTCTTCTCTGAACCTTCTCCAGGTCTACTACACCCTTTTAGAAATACAGAGACTATAACTGAATTAAAAGCCTTGAACTATGCAAAGAAATAAGTCAGATTAAACAAACAATTAGGATGATCCACACTTAAAAGATCCAAACTTAAAAGATCAATTCTCTTTTATTTAAATATATGCATTCAAAAAAAAAATCTTTTCACTGAGATTTTTCCTGGAACATTTTAAATTTCCTGTATTTTGACAAAATATAGACTCAAAAACTTTATAAACTATTTAGAGTTTTGGGAGGAGGGATCCATCAAAAATTAAAATATGTTCACAGAAATTTTCATGAGCATTTTTTCATCATTTTTTCCCACATTTCCCCAAGTAGATTTCTCTAATATTTGTGTGAAATTGTCTAAGACCCTTCTTTTAAAACTACTTTCTTGTCATCAGACTTGTGTCAGTAATACACCACAAAAATAACTTTGTTCTAATCCCAATTTCCACCACTTTTGTTTGGCTCTAATACTATAATGGCAAGTTTCTTCTTTTTACTAATCAATTAAATGATAAAAATGTATCCCTACTAAGGAGTTCAGCACTTTAACTATATCACTTTTCATTCATATTGCTTAATTGTTAGCATGCTCCCTGTCACATTTTTGGCTCATGCCAGCTAGCATTCTCTGAGAAAACATCAGAGACAGTCCTGGCTGCAGTGTGGGCAAAGAATGTACCATGTTTGGCTCCATTTATCCAGATGCATCTCGCCGCACTGTTTTATCAAGTGTTGCAACCTCTTACACCCTCAGATGCCCTTATCACACAGACCAGGACTTGCAACATATACCCTCCCATCTGTGTTATAAAAACACCATATGGATATTGACAACACCGACAACAAATCATTGCAAATACTTGGAACTGAAAAAACTACACACAAGGGTACACCTAATTGCCTGAACCTCACTGATTTGCTGACCTTCCTTTTTAAAAATTTTAGACCTAGTACCGGCAATGTTTCAAAAGAGCCTATACCACACTCATAGGCATTTTTCACAGTCGTGAGTGATTCATAAATAAAACAAAACGGGGGTAGCTTTAAATATATCTATATCTATAGCTATATCTATATATATATATGTATATGTATCTAGTCTCCTGGCTGAGTTTCTTCATGATTAGAGAAGTTATTCTTTTGTCCAAGTTTGTATGATAACTTGAACAAAATTAGAATGGCTGCCGCAGCAAGAGAAGAATTTAAGTACTGAAGAATTGTTGTTTTTCTTCCGTTGGTTAGATGGTGACATATTTCCTAGCTAGAAGTTTTTTTTTCTTCCTTTAGCTTTTTAAAAAGAATTAGAAGAGATTCCAGGCACTTAAGAAGCAAAATACAAGAAAAGAATAAATAAAGTGATCTACTTAGATCTCCCAACGACTAAAACAAAGTAGTTGCTTCCGTATCCTGAAAGCCCCACATTCAGCCCCACGTATCTGAAAACAAATGGCAACCTGGAAGGACGCTGTACCTCAATTTTTGACTGAACCATTTTTCTTTCTATGCCTATCTGAGCTTATCAAAGTCAGAAGAGGTATAGAAGCATCTGAAAGTAACATATGCTTCATTTGGCTTGATGTAGATTTTGAGAAACTATAGAAATAACACATAGACTTTTGTGGTAAGAATCTTTTTGTAAAAAGGAAGGGAAGCTCGTTGATGATCTTGGCCTACGATTCTGGTTAAAACCAAATAAGTTCCCAAAATACACCTCACTGTTTGTAATTAGTATTTCTTCTTATTATTGGGCAGTTACTGATAAATACTTACTGTAAGAACATTGCCAATAGTATAATCGTCAGCTAATACCAAGGTAGTTCCATACCAGAAGGCCAGTGCATACGATGCATATATCAGTAAGAAAGCAGCTCCCATAGAAATATTAGCTGTAATAGCCTTTTTTATTCCAATGCGTTTAGCATCTTCTAAATTTTTATGGTATCTGGAAGAAAGAGAAATGCAAAATGGACCCAGTTTTGTACCAAAACACCAAAAACTCTGTAGATGAAGTAGAAAAAGAGTGCTGATGAGGTACTATAAGTGATACACAATATATAACCGTAAGAAGGTATTAAGATAAGCTTGGTACTCAGGCACAGAAACTTAAGGCAGTTCCTAGAAAGGCCAACATCAGATCAGCTGTCAGAGAGAATAGGGGAAGAAAAAGAAAAGGGAGGAGGTGAGGAGGCATTGCAGTTCAGCAGCTGGCATGGGAGTTCCTTAAATTACCTGCTGTTTAATGAACTTGGACTGTGAACCACTCATGACCAAGGTTTTGCGATTACAACTGTTAGCTTTAGATAAAAGGTCAAAATACATCATAAGAATGATGTTCTACATTACAGCAGAAATAGAGATACTGTTTAATGAAACCCTCAAACAAATATTGAGTAATCACATATTAAGGATACCATTATCTTTTCTCATGGCATGGCCTTTTTTGTTTAAGGCTTTCCCTTGCTATGTGATGCTTCAAGTAGTTCATACACTTCCTAGAGCAGAGGCAATATATCTACTTATTGTGTGCATTTCTAGAAAAGTAAATAATTTGCATTCAACGTGTAGTGAAATTTGTAAAAGCCAACAACAGTTAGACACTTTCCAGCCCCATTACCTACAAATGCAGCAAGCACGAGACTCACTTGTTTGGACAGATTTTCAGTACTGAAGATGCAAGAAAATTTCAAACCATCTGAAGTGAGTACTTTAAAATTAGCTGATGAAAGCAAACAATGCTTTTACCTAAGCAATGCTCTTACCTTTTAATCTCTTTTTCCTGTCCTCCAAAAGCTATTACAGTCCGAACCGCGGCCAGGACTTCTTCTGCAACGGCTCCTGCTTTTGCATATGCAGCTTGTTCTTTGTCAGTAAAAGCAGAGAGAACCTAATGCAGGATCAAATATTTTGACTTAAGAAAAACAGAACGAGCGCAGGCATTTCACAATGGCTTTTATCACAGTTACTCTCTTACAATATGAAGCCTTTTGATTATATTACATAAAAGAGGGCAGAACTTTCGATATTAAAATTAATTACATCAAAAATTCAGTCTAATAATTCAGCATTATCCATTCTCAACAGCTGAGGTCTAGACTTTCAGTTCTGCTCTCACGCAGTGCAGAAGATTATACGAGCACTCACACTGAGCTAGCTGTGGTTCTCTGGTTCTGAGGCAGATCTGCCCATTCCGATCTACCTCAGCCAGAAAGCTCTATAACTTATGCTCATCAGCCACAGCCCATGAAGACTCTCAGCTAATGTACGTACCTGGCAGATGCCTCTCTACTCCTACCTCTTCCCCAACACACTCAAGATCGCAGAGGCATATATAACCTTTGAAATGTAATGGAAATAAAGTACTATAAAAATCTGGAGGCTTCCAAACTGCAATTTAACCAGTCACTCCAATCCCATGGTAATTTAGTACTCATGTATATCTGTCTAAATTCTTGCCTAAAGCTGTAACAACTCTGAAAAGAGGCTCTGCGTCTGAGACCAAGGCTTGGTCTAGTTTATTTACTTATTTTTCAGGGGTGCAATTTGTTTCAACAGAGCAAGTGGATGAAGTTAAACAGTAATAGGTGTGTATTTTACTGGTATTTCTTGTTTCTTCTTCCATATAAAAATAGGCTATGTTAAAATCAGAGTAAGTCTGTTCATTCTATGGGAATTATACTGAAACTATATGAGGATAGTTGTGTACGATTTATTTAACACAGCTTATGTACATAAATGTTGTCTAAAGCTACAATAATTGTTCTAAGTGATACATTCCAACAGTGAGAACTACAGTTATTTAGATTTATTCCATTATCTCTCACTGATATAAAGCATGACACTGAATGTATGTTAACTTACCTTTGCCCAGAGAGCTGCTGAAAGTCCCAGGACAGGACTGACTGCTAGTATTACAAGGGTTAATTTCCATCCTTTTATGAAACCGACAATAAATCCTGTTACAAATGTTGTTACTGATTGAATAAGCAATCCAATTTTGTCACCTATTCCTTCATTAATCTTGGCGACATCACTGAAAAACAAATTACATCCAAACAGGAAGGAAAATAGAGAGCATGCAGAGATTTTCAATTTTGTTACATGGACATCTGTGCAGAGGACAAATCCTTCTCATTCCATTGCCTGCCAATGGTTTGCTCAAGAATAGAGTGCTATATAATGCAGTTATGGAAATGTTCATATTTCTTGGGAAATTTTCTTGCTATAAATTTCTATTTGCCTCTGAAAAGGCTAAAATTCTGCCTACAATGCAAAGTTTCTATTGCGCTCTCTTCTAATTCCAGATTTTGGACCTATATGGAAGCTATGGGATCTCTAGAAGGAAAAGCTAAAGCCTTTCATGTGGGTTTTCATGTAGGCAAGAGAAAGGAATAGCTTGTCATGCAGCTCAAGCTATTCACAATTTTGGGATCAGGCAGCATCTTGAGTCCCCAGAGTGCACAGAAATGAACCATGTTTTCTCTTCATGGAGATAATCTCTTAGGATGGGTTTTAGTCATCCTCAGAGTTCACAGATACTTATTTAAATGCTTTTCTGGTATCTTTGTGATAGTGCAGTATCAGAAGTGTCAGAAGTTCAGCCTCTGAGAGTCTCAATGAGATAACTTGCATGAGATTCACAATGAAATAATGCAATTTTTAAAACCTTTTTTAAAATTTTTAGCTCATACATGCTTAGTAAGATAAAATATAATTGTGGAAGTTATAGTGCACTTACTCTATGAGACGAGTGTTAAGTTCTCCCACATCATTTACATCAAACCATCCAATTTCCTGTCTCATAATTGCATGAAAAAATTGTTCTCTAATTTTCTTTATTTGCCGGCCTGCTGCTAGGGTCCAAAATGAAGTCTGGATATAAGCAGCAAGAAGAACACCAGCTGCTATTCCAGAATAGTAATATGCATACCTGAAAGAAAAAAAAAATTGCAACATTTTCTGAATTCAGTTCTAATTACCTAAATAATCTGTATTTAGCTTGAAGCTTACTGCTTCTTCTCAGATCCGAATTAGAGTTTGCGTCCAGAAGTATGCCTTTTTCCTGCAACTACATCATTTAAGCTAATAAAAATGAATTTCCCTATAAATCTTTCCAAGTTTTCTCAGAGTATTTCAGCTTTTAGATATGCAATAAGCTAAACTATTTTTAGACAAGAATTACATTTTCTTCTAACTCCTTCTCATCAATATAGTATACATTTTCTCAAATTATTTTAGAACCATATTTTAGATACAATATCCTCTTCACTTAAATGTGTAATTTCCAAAAGCATCATAACATTTTTATTTTAATACATATGTACAGATGTTAAATGTGTTTATAAAAACATTTACATACATTGTGCAACATGCTTGTCTGTGTATAGAAACATATGTGTATGAGGCATGAGTGTTATTTTCGGATTAGAGTATATAATGTGGCAATATATACTTCTATTGCAAGTAAATGACATCAGATCAGAAATTCTTTTGCTCCTCGCTTTTTTTGTAACTACTATTTTACTTTTAAATGCTTTCAGCTCTGTGCCACAAGCAAGGATACAAATCCAAACCGAGCAGCATGTGAACTACTTCATTTCTCGAACTGGAACTGCATTTGAGCCACTGTTTTGAAGTGTTCACATAGAATCAAATAACTTCAGTCACAGGTGAACTTAAACCGGAACCAAACCAGAAAAACGTAACTTATCTGATTCATAAAACATGACCAAAAATAATAGCTAATATTTGGTTTTGCATATTGCATGCATTTGTACAACTGTTGTATTTATGTAAAAGTGAAGAACTAGAAAAAAGCTTTAAAACAATTGGAATCTTCACTCACATGTAGTAAGATCTGCATACTAGTTCTTTATAATTGTAGCCTGCAACTCGATAGAAGCACGTTGCAGAAATCTGTGTATAAATGCTCTGCTCAAAAAAGGAGATAATGACTTTACAGATGAACTGCTTTCCAATATTAATATAGTTCTTTTTTCAGTGGCTAAGATGAGGTACAGTTTAGCCTGAGACTTTGGAACTACATTCATTATAAAATGAATTGCATTTAAACTGATTACTAAAAATGATTTAATGCCTAACTGAATGTTGAAGATTAGCTGAATATTGACCTTGATCATCTTGATCAGCGCCATTAAAAATCCACAGAGAAAGTACTAAACTAAAACTAGCGTGACTGCTGATCCAAAACTCAGCCGGAATTACTTTAGACAATTACTTTATGATGTTATGTCACTTTGAAGAATTGCTTTATGCTTGGACTTTGTTTCATGACAAATTGTAACAGAAGTGATTGATATCTTTGCCAGATTTCACGCTGATGAGATGTATTCTGTAAATTCACTGCTGAAACTTAACAGAGAGTAAATGCTTACTGCACTGTAAATTAATTGTCCCTTTTTTGCTGCTTTGAGAAACAGTTGGATTTTAGGCAAACTATTATTTGAGTATCCAACATAACCAAGTTCACATTTGTAGTTCTTGAATTCACTTCAACTTTGTACTTACGGTTTTTGTTATCATTTTTAATAAAATGTCCTTCTGGCAGGTATTCTCAGAGAAACAAGGGGTGGGTACAGATAGCTACAGCTTCTTCAAATTAATGAACACACAAGCTCAAGGCCCTATCCAGAAACTTTGGAAAAGAGCATCTATTCCTGTGCCATTAATAAGCAATACATCCCTCATTCAGTGCTGAGGATAAATTGTTTCCCAAGAGGAGATCAGGATGCTTTTAACTCACATCTGTACTTTCAAATTTAATGTCTAAAAGATGGGGTGACATGGGTGATGCTAAGAAAAGATCTCCCTCACACAGACCATCTCTAGGCACACGAGAACAGTTAGTTCTCAACATGCAGATAACATGTTTTATAATCAAATTTACACTTTCTTTGTGTCAGCTTGTTTGTCTTCCTGTACCCTTTGCTCTTTAAGCAGCACTGGCTATTAAAAGATAAAAAAAAAACAAAACCCAAATCATTAATTAAAAAGTTTAGATCATTAAAAAAAAAAACCTTATAAATGACAAATTGATTTACGTGCTACTTTTATGCTATGTGTCAGTAATATTTTCTGTAATTATAGTATATCTCAAGAGCTTATCCTAAAATACAGGTTAAATATGCTTGAGTAAAAAAAACTAACCGTAAAGGTGTATGTATCATTACTTTCATTTCAAAATGGAAATAAAAACATATAGCTTTAAAATTAAGAGCAATTAATAATAACAAGTGATAAAGTTTTAGAGGCCATCCATCCACATGATCACCCCATAAAAGGGATACACAGACAGAATAATTAATTGCAGTGGAGAAAAAAAATCAGACATTTTACTATTTACAGGAATAACAGAACAGTCAAATTAAAATGATCTAATTTTAAATTGTAATAGGAAATGCTGTTTATATGATTTACAAGACTATTGAGCTTGTCAAAAGATATGACTCAAGCTAAGATCTTAGTAAGTTTCAAAAAGGCATTCTATAAAAACAACCATTTTTAAAGTTCTTTTAGACTAAACATACAGTAGACTTTGAAAATGTTGTGCAACTACACACATCAGGTAATTACCAAACTCAAAATAGTTAGTATAACTTTACCTTTACACAAGTTATTTTTTCTGACAATTCCAACATTTGCCTTCAATGACTGGGTATGTGCATATCATGCATAAGGTGTGTATGCATTTCTTGCAGTCAAGTCAGAGACTAACTAGCAGAAATGTTGGGGGAGCAAGAAATTCTGTGTTACATACTCTCCTACAAAATATAATTGTCAACTCCCTGTCAGTTCCTTCTTATCATACATGGGTTCTCCACTTCTAAGTAAGTCTTTTCCTAACTAGCTGCTGCTCGTTTATTTTATGGTAAAGAATTTTCTTTAGTGTAAATAGATTCTTTTCATTTCAAAACTAGCTACTTGATTTAAACAATTCATAACTCTACAGTCCACTGTCACCGAAGAAGATAACCCACTTCAGTACAAGAGAGAGCAAAAACTACTAGATGAGATGCTCATCCTTTTCTTCAGGTAGGACAACAGTCTGGAAGACCACATTAGTGTTCCTGAGATCTCAGATGTTTTCTATACCTAATGAGGAACAGACTTCAATATGAAGAACAAAAGCTGAAGTGGTACAAGAAAATGCACACATACTTTTAGACATCCTGCATATACCTGAATGGACAGTGGCTAATACAGCACTTAAAACACATCTATTGCCTGCTGATGTTTCAACTTCTTCACTATTTTCTCTATCCTATTACTCTTTCACAGCAGAACTGCTTGCTGACTTTGTCTTTTGCTATTGCCTGCTCTAGGATGCTAGATTTAAGGTTGTATAGAATTTAACTCTATTTCCTCTAGTCTACATATTCTAGTTGAACTTGATGCTTTGGCAGGGAATTAGATAGTATCTGGCAATTTTAAATCTGCTTTTTATCATTGAATCACCACAGCTCAAGTAATTGATGGATGGTATTCATTAGCACTTTTTAGCATAACAATTAATGCTTATAAATTCAGAGAAAGGGAAGGAAGAAGAAAGGAGTTGCAGATGGCATGGAGGCAGACAGCACTCAGGAAGGGAAGCAAGAGCAAGAAATTAAAAGGAAGTTGTTGGAATGGCTGGGGATGTCCAAGAATTTTCCCAGTGCCTGCAAAAACCTAATGTGCAAATCTCGAGTTACAAACATTATTCAAGTAACCATTTCTTATTTACTATTTAAAATATGTAAAACGTGTAGGAGAAGAATGGCTTGACTAGAAACGTATGCCTAGATTAGAAAAAGAAAAGCAAGTATCAATTTCCAATTACCTTGTCATATCTTCTTCTAGCTTGCCAAGAATGACTGAAGAGAAATTCACTAAAATGTTTTCTAAAAAAAAAAAAAGGGGGGAGGGTGGAGGGGAGAGAAAGTAATAACTACTTTAAATACTTTCAATATGTTAGGTTTTAACAAATTTGTTTTCCTGCATGCTGTTCAGCAAATTTTGAATTGCTAAGTCTTCTGTTGGTTCAACTTAATTTTAATGAGAAGAGGAGTGCAACATTGTAAGAAGCCCTAAAGCCAAGAGCTCAGGCTTCTACCTATAGAAAAACAGTGATTATATCAATATAACGTTAATCATGACTCCATGACTCCAGTGACTACAAAATTACATCAGCATAACTCGAGACTAAAACATTTTCCTGAGCACTCATTAAATGTTCGCATTTTTTTTCCAGAAGCATAGTGCATTTGTAGAATGCCAAAAACCATTAAAAATGCAGGCCTAGGTATTGCCCTCAAATCAGTAACTGTGGTTAGCTCAGGTCTATATGAAAACATTGGCCATGATGTATGCATTGGCTCTAAAAACTTTACTCCATCACATCCAGAATTTAGTAACAAAGTTTTGAGAAGACTATCCTGCAGCATTTCATAATTACTCCATAAAAATGTAGCTGATTTATTCTACTCGGGAATGGGTAAATCATAAATTACTTGTTCCAATAAAGACAGTAAATCTGTATTTCTGTCTCTTGGAGAAATAAGAGTGTACATGAAAACAGGACAGAAGACAGTCAAATCCTTTATTTCTCTGTATTGCCATGGGCATTTATTAAGATGTTTAATAAAAACTCTTTATGGAAGGGCAACAAGCGTGTTCACAAGTCTAACATCTAACGTTTGATTTTGGGTGACAACCTAATCTGGTCTAACTGTGAACTAACACCAAAACAACAGTATCACTACTCCTTGTACTCAGCAGTGCACCTCTGCCACTCCTTTGTGTTTGATTTTTACTTCTCATTTAGCAGACTGAATCTAATCAACAAACTGATCCAAGAGAAAACAAGAACTTTCCTTCCTGATAGTCAGTCTTCTGTGGGATCCACTTAGTGATCCAGTTCACCTTGTAGACTGTAACTGTTAGACCTATGCAAGGGGAGCAACAGGAGCATACGGGGAGGGCAAGAGAGGGGAAAAAATGGACTCTCTTTGTTTATCACAGCCATGGTTAAAGATGATTTGTTGAATGTGAAGCTGCAATGTAGGAGGTTATTTGAGAAAATCCACTAGTACAGAAACTAAAAATTAGGGGGAAAAAAATCCATAGTGTACCTCTACTAGAGAAAACACAACAATTAATAAATTGGTTTAAGCTATAGTAGCAAGCTGGGGTTTTTCACATCAATATCTCAAATTAAAATGCTCCAATCTCCCTGGATGTTTTCCAAATACGAGCCATTGTTCTGGCCACAGAAGATATAATCCTACCTGGAAGAGTTGTGTTTCCAGAAGTAACAAAACTATCAGTCATATCACCAAAAATTATCATCACAACAGGGAGACTGGTTCCATGGGCTATTGCCAGGACAGTGCCTACTATCATTAGTAATTTATCCATCCAACTGGAATATCGAAACTGCAAGCGAGAAGAGAGATTCGTTCTAATTGCAGTATTAGAACACTAACACAATGTTACAGATATAAAGTCAAAAAAAAAAAAAAATTCAGGAAAAAGCCATCAGTTGTATACCTAATTGTCACAAAACTACAACTTTATCTGATTAGAAATTAAATTTATGAAATAATTTAACTGTACAGAACTCAATTATTCTAATAAAAGCATTTTATGCTATGGACTCTCCAAACTAGAAAATTGTACTATTTTAATGTATCAGTATCTACACATGTATAAGAAAGGCATATAAAAGCAAGGTATATGAAATTTGCCCTGTGTAATTTTGACATTTGAAGTTCAAATTACAAGATTTTTTAATATCATTGTCCTAATTAGGACAGTAATTAATTTTACTGTAAATTCATTATTTATTTATGCAGTTAGAAAAAACGTTCTTAATGTATCATAGGTATTATCAAAGCCTACCAAAATCCAAAAAACCTCTTTCCATTGACTTCAATAAATTTTGGGCTCTTCTATGGCAAAAACATTAGCTTGATTCTGCACTGTAAGAAACTAGGTTTACTGTGGTAAAATACACTGGTTTTGCAATAGAATTGTATAGATGCAAAGCTGGTAAGGCAAAGTAGGGAAATTAGGTCACTGGCCAATATAGTTGGTGCATTTTTATTACTATTATTTCCCGTGTTATTGCTGTGCACTATTCACACTAGGCGAACAAAATATAAAACTTTTCAGTTTTACTAAAAGAGTATCAAGGATCTACTTTGATTAAATATTAATGGATTATCTTATTTTAAAATATATAGAAAATTAAAATTATCTGGAACTTAAAATACTTTCTAGTTTCCTTCACTTTACTACTGACTCTGGTGACTGAGTAATAAGTAATAGGCTGATCAGTGTGACCCAGGTAATTTAAAGGATTGGATGACACTGATAATCTTAGGTACACAGACTCCTGTTTTGTTCTGTTGCAAGAAGTGGTTGAGTATGGAAATTTTTACTTTCCAAAGACAAAAGTCTCCTAGTAGAGGTGTGTATAGCTAGTGTGATAGTTCATTTCAGGAAGGCTCCCAAGAATCCATATTGGTAATAAGACTGTTTCATTAGTAAAATTTTATCCACAAAAAAGACTGCTTGATTGCTATGCTATATTAAATATTCTGTAATATTAAAGCATTTGGTAGAAACAAGAAAACATATGCAGTGCTCTAAGATTATTTTAAGCGTGTTTTGTGCATTACGCTTTGAAATGTGTGTGTGTGTATGGGCAGATAGATAGATAGCATATATCTTACCAGCGTTAATGGGCTGACCACCTTAGCCTTTTCTGCTTTCTTCTTGTTTTTCTTGCTTGAAAGGTATCATAGGTTTAGTGCGTTTGAAAAGTGACAACATTTCACAGAAATACTCAACATATTAATGAAGTTCAATAAAAATATAATTATGAAATTATTTTACAGGCAGCATTAGTACATAAAAAGAAGACAATTTGTTGAGCATTCTTGGGATGTTTGTTTTTAGGAAACCTCCAGGCACATAATTAACATCAGTTTCTGATCTCTATAAATTTAATCAAGCTCTCCCAACAGGGGCTGGTGGTGAACTGAAGCACTACACAGCTTCTGAAACGGGAAAGAGGAAGATAACTTATAGAATTAAATTTTGTCACAATCCATGAATGGAAAATGAATAAAGATGCTCAAGATATGTAAAATGTTGAGCCCTCTCCAAGGTAAAAAATTTAGCTGATGATGTGGCTGTACCCAAGATGTCTACTTCGACGTCATTTCTGTGATATTTTAGATTTGCTTTTCAGCAAAATGTAGTCAATACTGTGGACACTCTCTCTTTACAAGAAAAAGATACAAGGTGACAGAACTTTCCATCCTTCTGCCCCAAATGGATGTGACAATCAGTGCTACTGACAAGCTAAAGTAAAGCGTTCTCTTCTCAGGCTTTCTAGGCAATTATAAAATAACATAAAATAACAATAAAATAACAATAAAATAAAAATAAAATGTAATCATATAGGCGTCATAAAAAATACATTTACAGTGTTTAAGAATATTTACCGTTTGTCTTCAGAACCACAACCCTGCCTGGATGCAGTGGTCCCATGACTATCTCCATCTGCAGTACACTCCTTCTCATCTTCAGAACGCATTTCAAATTTAAGATATTGCTCTGTAAAATAATATTTGAGTGAGAAATATGCAACTATTAAGCCAAGGACAGTAATCTTAATGACCATTTGTTTGAAAGGAAAAACATATATACTTATTAAAATTGGTAAAATTATTTAATATTGCATGTTGCAAGTGAATCCTGGTAACGGACAAATGCAAATATGTTGAAACATGTCCAGATCTGTTGAATTTGCCTACGTACATCCACATGCTGTATTTGTACCTACCTGATAGTTGTGTCTCTTTCATTTAATTTCATTTGAATGCTATGAACATTTATTTTTCTGTAATTCAGCATAAATACAGAAAATGAAAGAGAAGGTAGGTGTTCATTTAAAACAATATGCAGTTATTTGGAATTTTTATTCAGTTATCAGCAAATTCTATACAATATCTCTGATTTAAAAATAAACGTATTGACTTACTTTGAAGGTTGTTCTTAGTTTGCTTCTCCTCTTCAGCAATCGACAGAATAAATATGATTAGGAACACCCAGCATGATTGAACTTTGCTCTTTTACGGAAAACAGAAACGATAACAGCTTTCTCCTCTTCTTTCCCACTCCCTTTGCCTCGCCTACTTTGGAGAGTAAAGCGTATGTACTTTGGACTCTGCCTCCCTTTCCTAAAAAAAGAAAGCCTTAAATAACCCCTGTTTCATTGTCATTCATGAAAACAGGTCTACAATAGACTATTCTTCCCCCATTCTACTGTGAGCTTAATTATGCCCCTTAAAACTCTCAGGAATG